TGCATCCCTTCTGTTTAAGTCTTTTTCGAGACGGATTAGCCGAGCCACCCACAAGGTAAATGTGTACATGCACTGCTTGCAAAAATGTAATTGATTCATCAAAAAGTCGCACCCTCTAGAACATACCTTGGGGCTTACAATTAACCCTTACATCAGTATGCATATTCTCCATACTGTTCTCTATACATTTTACATTTATTTGGTGATCATTTCCTATATTCCCGTGACCTCAATGTGTGATTTACCAGTGGCAGTGTGAGGAGAAATAAGATGCTGGTCACTTGTTGGAATAAAATGTGACAAGAGCTGGGCGGGGAATGTGAGTCAATAAGTACCAAATAACCGCACTGAAGCCAAAAAACAAAACAAAACAAAACAAACGAACAAACAAAACAAAACAAAAGAAGTCAGTTAATGCAACAAGCAACCACGTAATAGAGTGATGGAATGGCCGAGCCATAATCACATTATATCAAACAATTTTATTCATGACGTGTTTCAGAGACAAAACAGAGTCGAGTTGCAGAGATACGATTGAGCCAGGTCTTTTCAGTTCTGGTGGCCCGATGGTTGACGATTAAAAACGATACTAGGAAATAGCCAGACCTGTCAAGTAAGGTTGGAACCACAAACATGTGTTAGTAGGCTAAAAGCAAAGGCTAACATCACAATCACTTTGAAGACAAAGTCAAATTTGTTAACTTCATGTAGAGATCAATTTGGTCGCAAATTGAAAACTTTATCCCAAAAATTTGATTTCTTTGATCTTCCATTAGGTTCTCAGTACTAACGTCAACATATCAAACGGTTATCTCAAAGTGTTATTTGGTGTTGCTTAAGAAATGATTTAAGAGCAATACAAAAACACTACATTACCTCTTCAGAAAACGTTCTGAAGGATACCACTTGTAAGCCCACGATGTGTGATTCATCTCTTGTAGACTGGCACACCTTGCAGACCTGAGGGATGTAGCAGATCTCGCTTTCTGGCACGAAAACAGAATTCACACCTACAATCACATTAGTTGAAAACTTGTCAGAAAACTTATTAATTTTACACGAAATAATTATCTCAATCTATCACACGGCAAGGTGTTCCTGAGGTAAATCCTAGCGTTCTGATTGGTTCTTACTTAGTTGTTATTTTGTCATACGGACCGTTGCCACGGAAACGGTCGTGAGCCGTGTGCTTCTGTTAGCGAATGCCAGCAAATTCAAAATTAGCAAGTTTGGTCCAAGTGCCATATAAAAAATTACTAGCTAGCCTTGCTTGCTCGAGCCGTACTACCACGACTTTAAGCCAACATTACCCCCACACTCCGTTATTAAGACGTTAATACCGAACAACAGCTAGCTAATTAACAATGATATACCGCGGTGCTGCTCAATTCGTTTGTATTTCTATTGTATTTAGTAGTTTTCTCCCCGAAATATTAATTTTTTTCCATTCTTTGTACATTTTTAACTCAGCGGTTCGTTAATTGCCCTTTCTGTTGTTGGTGCGCCAGAAGGGACCGCACAGGCTGCGTTTGAAGTGAGAAGTGGAGGGAATATTCCCGCCCATCAACCTCCACCAATCCATAAACCACACTGGGCCGGCTATTTACACGAGGTCTAAGCCAAACCGCGGTTTTACGCAAGCAGTGGGCCTTACGTACTCTCTATAAGACGGTTGTTTTATTAAATAAATGTCCTTCCACTGTTAAATTTCGGCCCTCTCGACACTGTTCATAAAAATAAATGCTCAGAAAAAAAGATTCACCTAAATTTAGGATTGTTTAGAGCGCGGTTTTGTATAACGGCTAAACTTTGTTTAAATAACCGTCCCACTGTGTTTCGCCCACGTTATGAAGATAAACAGAAACAAAACAAAACGAAGACAAATCAGAGATCGAAATCAGAAACAAATAACATCAAGGACTAACAGTCTCTACACTTTTGCTGTTTCACACTTAAATGCTTTTTCCTGACGGGATTCAAGGTTACGATTTAACAATCCCACCGAAATAATTTTACTAAAATAAGTGAAATTATTGTTTACTACCTGAAAAGTCATCGTTTTTTGCATCTGCAACCGGGTAACCCAGGTTTAAAATTTCGCAAGCCCCCTTGTCGATAACATTGATACTTTTGTCATCAATTGTTTCCAACATCCTAAAAGAGCTCCGTAGTAATTCCGGAATCTTTTGTGGGAAGGGTCTAACAACGACGCGACCTACAGGGACGAGACGACAAGATCAGCGAACTAGAATTAATTACAGCTCCGAATTAAAGGTTAACTCTGTTAACGAGCCTTATGGCCCACTGTTGCAGCTTATTCCAGGTTTCCTACCATGAAAACTAACAGTGTTGCTATTTTCCCAGGAGGAGATGAAAATCCAACAAAAGGCATCACCCGGCATTTCGTCAGACTTCCCTAACAACCCACTTGTACCCATTTATACTCATTTGTCCCATTCATACCCTGGGTGAAGAGAGGAGCTAAAGGGATTTTAAGTGCATTAACCGTTTAAAGTGACTAGCGTCTGATTTCCTATTAACAATATCACCCCATTGAGGTTATTATGATAAAAAGAAATGATCAACAACTAAAGAACCTGTTGATTGTTTAACAAATTCTCCATGTCAGTATCAAAAGAAATACATCGAAAAGAGTATTAAGAATATGCCTAGTGATGTTAGGGAGTTAAGGTTTAATTGTGAACATTTTAACCTGGTTATCATGAAAAGGTATCCGTACCTCCTATACCAAAGATATGGCTTATTTATATTATAGAAATGCCTGGAAACCTGCTTGGGTTGTGCAACAGCTCTACTAACTCACCTGCAACGAGGTTGCTTCCACATCGGCCACAACTCAGTATTGGATTGCCACCTTTAACCTCTGGTTTTTCCTGAAATAAAATAATGAAATAAAAGTGATAAAGTCATGAATGGATTTTCCACAAACAACATAATGGAATCGACCGTAGTGGTTCCAGGTCTAAATTGTACTCCAGATGAAGATGAAAATGTAACCAAATTACTTTTAAATCATAACGAAAGTTGACTTCGTAATTTGGTGAGACTAACGCAGCTTTATAAATACTGACCGCAAGACATAATGCTACAAACAAAAAGGCACCACCAACGTGAAATTTCACACTAGGAAAAAATGAGCGTCGTTTGAGGCAGGTGCTAATCAACATGATTCCCGTCTTTACTAAAGTGAAAAACGAAAAAGTGACAGTGATACCTCGCATACTTCTTTCTGTTCCTTCTCAGTGCACCCGGTGCCATTTGAAGATCGTCTGAGCCTCGAACTCTTTCTCCGTCCCTGTCGAACGTTGCTCGACATCTCAGATTTACAATTTTTCCCATCGAAACATTTCTTCGCACCCACGTTTGAGTCTACATAACGGTTTGCCAACTCAGACTTATCCAAGGGAAAATCAGTTTCAACCTCGTCTAAGAAGTCACGTGGCTTACTCTCTTCTTTTACCTCGCAGGGAATTTCCTTAACAGCGAAGCCTTGGCCTCCCGATTCTTCGAAATCACTGATATCTTTTGACACCTGGATTGAACTTTTGCTTAGATCACTGTATCCATTTTCTACAGTTTTAGCATGACTTGATGTGTTACAGAAGGAATTCATGTTCGAAGAGTTTACATCTGTCCTCACTTCTCTTTCAACTGGTTTATAAGTGTCAAATTCCTGCTTAACTGGTGAAGGCGAAGGACTGGACTGGGGCGTAGCAAACAGAACAGGAGAGTAAGACAGCTGTTCATTTGAGTGGTTTTCGCTGGCATGATTAAAGTCAACTTTCCCAACCGACACCTGGTTGACAAATTTCTTGTCCTCATTTACCTCATTGCGCTTACTTAATAAAACATTTCCGCCATTTCTTGGTGTAAAATCAGAAATCGATTCCATCCCTTTGAAAACGTGCCTCTCGCTCTTGTCTTGACCAACACTTTTCCGCTTGAATTGCGCAAGTTTTGAGGCAGCCCTCTCAACACTAAGAGATACGCCATGGGGAGTGGCTTCAGAGAGTGCCGAAGGGGTCAAATGAGACGCAGGCATAAACCCAGAGATTTGATTTCCTTGATAATTGACAGGCGATGTTTGCTCGGCAAATGGTTTAGTACCAGTGTGTTGAACCGGAGTTCTGCTGGGATCAAGCTGTGGAGACAGTCTGTCGTCCTCAAGTGGTTTAGTGCGAAAGTGAACGCCTAGCTCTTTAGCTGGAGTCTCCACTGTGCTTTTGCTCAACTGGCTGAGTGAGCCCGGGCTGCTACCGGAAGGGCATGGATCTAGTTTACGCGCAGTTGCAAATTCTTTCAAGGACGACATAGCCTCATTAAAGTTGTTAAACTTTGCAATTCTCTTTCGGACCCATTTGGATATCCCTATATAAATGGTTACATTTTGTTAGGTAAAACCAAGCAGACCTGTTGTGAAGTTCACAGATGTAGTTTCTTACCATTTGTATACTTTGGAGACTTGTTAAACCGTTCATCTATCAATAGAATAGCTCCCCAGTCTTGCCTGTGAAAAGTCAAATTGTTAGTTACCAGGCCGCTTAGGAGAAGGTTCAACGCTATAGGGTACTTAATTTAAAGCCAGAGAGCCTCTAGTCCGTCGGCCCTCTGAAGCCTTAATCCACCCGCAAACGTAATTATTGAAATAAAACACTCTATTCAGAAACAGATTAAGTGATTATTAAGGATTTCTTCGAGTACTCGCTCGCCATTGTAAACATGCTCCCTTTTTTCCCCTTTCCCACTAACTGATAGCCTAGCACAGCCTAGCTAGGTGTAAGTTAGGTGCGGACTGCCTACAACGAAGTAACCTGACAACAAATAAGTACCAAATAGCCATGCGATCTGTCACAGCCTTGTTGTAATAGTTTCTTAGACTAAAAAAACTTATACAAACGATATGATACTTATCGTTATAGTAGTAGAAGTCTAAGATTGACGAAAGAACTCAGTTTCCGGCAAGCCATTACAGTCTGATAAGTAAAACGGCAAAGTTTAGCCGTTATATGACAAAACCGTGTCCTAAAGAATTCTAATTTTGCCGAACCTTTCATCTGAACATTTATTTTTGTGAGCAAAAGAGAGCCGAAAGCTAACAGTGGAAGGAACCCTCCTTTATAGAAAGCTCGAAGTCCACTGATTGCGTAAAACCGTTGGTTTGGGTTGGACCTCGTGTAAATAACCGGCCCTCCGAGTTTGTATCAGTTTAGTTTGCTAGCCTGTTTTCTTTGAGTTCAATTTTAGGCAGTTCATATAAAATAAGACATACTCACTTATGGCGAATGCATCTTCCTAGAGCCTGAAAAAAGCATTAAGATTTTAGATATTTTTGTGATAGATGTTTATTCTACTACAAATATTTCGACATGCGGACGGCGATGTAATAGGCTCTTCTTTCTAAATTAGGCCGACGAGAATGTAAACTCCATGAATCCTCCGGAAGAAAATAAAGGTATCATCACTCCGCATTGTTTTCAACCGTGTCGCCACGCAAAAAAGGTAATAAACGGTATAGGCATTTGGTTCGAGCCCCAACAGGCGGATTGTTATTTGTCCTTGAGCAAAACACTCAAATCTCACAGAGCCTCTCGGTGCACAGGATAATATGCGCTTACCGACTAACTGTCGGGAAAGCCTGAAAGAATACTGTCGGAGGGGAGGGGAAGGGAGGAAGGAAGAGGTAACCTTACAAGAGACTAAAATCCCGTCAAGAGGTAAATAACAATGCTCCTAGTCCCTTCATGCCTCTGAAAATTGAATAAGCTCCAGCAGAAGCAGCATTCTGGCTGTAAGCCCTGTAAGCTCGTAAGCTAATTTTACCTTTCATTTTGATTAACTTGAAGGACTAACCTGGTTCAACGCTCTGTAGGCCTGGATCTCATACCACTCACTTCCTGTTAACAGTCCTCGGCTCGCTGAATACTGCGTGTTGTATTTTCGTTTGAGTTCCACCTTTAAACAAAAGTGAAAAATAACGCTTTGAACAAGGTGAAGGTCCCAAAAACTTCCCTTCACGTCGTCTGCCTTTTTAAGAACAGAATCCAACCCTACTCTTGAGGTGGACGAAATTAAAAGAAAATATGCCATCGTCGATTCCGATCGGAATATCGTTTTCGGAGGATATACAAAAAGGTCCTAATTTTCCATTTCCAAAATTTCAAGATAAATTTCATAATACTAATAAATAAATAACTGAATTGGCTTAACTAATCGCTCTTGGTGGCTAGAATTTCATCGCCACTATAACAAATTCTCGATCATGAGTGGCTTTCAGTAGTTTCACCTGAGCACTGACAGGAAAGTCATACCAACCCAGGCGGTCAGACGACACAATCGCGTACGCAGTTTCGTCAGTCAGCGACATATTATTAACTTCAATTGCATTTCATAGCTAACAGCACAACATAGGTTATTTCAGATGATTTATCGCCTAATTACCTGGACATCTTTCACATTTGGAAAAGGAATTCCGATCTGCATAAGAAGAGAGAGAGAGAAAACGTTCATTTAGGATAAACTGGGGTTTTCTCTTACCCAAGTTAAAATAAATTGGTTTTGTCCCTTCCCTAAGTTAAAAATCTTTCTGACTTCTCAAACTTTTATATCAAGAGTAATGAAATTTACAATTGAACATCCATTTGGTTTGCCTCGGTTTTGCCTCGGCAACTAGTCATTCATACCCAAGGACGTTTCACGCTCAGTCGATTCGTACCCAGTTTATGTCAGTTCGTACCCGAACCGTTGATCGATTTGTACCTATCCTTACATTCAGTGACGAACAGAGCCCAGAGATGTCACGAAATATCTTAGTACAAGGGCGTGAAAAGACGTCGATTGTTGCATACAACAAGTTAGTTGAGCCAAGCGAGTAAAATACACGTTAAGTTCTAACTGGGTACGAATCAACTGGGTACGAATTGACTAGGTACAAAACGTCCGTAAGTGACACAAAACTGATAAGCTTTGCCTCTCTCTGCTCTGTGATTGTTTATGCATATTCTCCATACTGTTCTCTGTACATTTTTTAAGGTGCTGAAAAGGAGAATTTGTCTAACAATCTAGAGCGCGTTTTCATTGGCTCCTTGTGACATTCAACTTTGCCCTGATTAGCTTTTTTTCCCTGAAGCTTTGGTTTTGTAACACTTCGATCAAATACGCTTTGACAAGGTTTTGATCAAAGACCTCAATTAAGGCGAATGATTTTCAACAAAAAGAGGAGATCTGGGCTCCAAAAACTGCAATATTTAATTCCAATGATCTTCTGACGGCCTAGCTTTTAAAATAAACGCCTTCATTATATCGCCCGCCGTACCCATGGGCAATGAGGCGAATCCTGTCTTCTGATAGCGGGTAAGATGGGCCCGAAGAAGGCAGAAGGCAGTCAAAAAAAGTAAAACTAACGATTCTCGTGGGTTTACTGTGCTTCAAACACAGTTGGGCTTTTGAAGTCAAATCTTTTTGCTATGTAATAAATACTTTACCGACAAAGCTTGTTCGGTCAAGATCGCAAAATATTCGCCTCGTTTTTTTCTTTACGTTTTTACTGGCCTCGACTTCCATTCGTTCCATAAAAATCGCACAAAAAAAAGGGAATTGGGCCAATATGCAGCCATCTTGACCTCAAGCATAGTCGTTAACACGTCTTCCCTTTTTCGTTATTGACTTTTCTGTCACAAACCCCTGGGATGTATCTTGAAAATCTTTCAATGGATATGTATGTCGCGAAACTGCTCATTTTGTGTAGTCAGACAGGATTGAAACACAATAATTGAATGTAAGAAAAAAGCTGTTGTTTTTATAACATCAACCGCTTATCGATCTTAATTTACATCACTCGACAGGATTAAATAAAATTTGCATTTTTACTATTGTTTGAACGACATCAGTTGCGCCGTATTAATCTCTTTTTCGATCTTTCACCCGGGGCGTTTTTTCCATTAGCAAATTATCAATTCCGTTTAAATCCATGAATCGAAAAAGTTAAAAAAATCACCCGGGAAACGAAAAAATGTGACTCAGTTTTAAAAACATGTTCAAACAGAAATACGATACAAAAAGCTGTCATATTATTTCATCAGTGACAATGGACAGTCTAAAAATAACCCTCCAAAATTTATTGCAGCTGGTTGCTCCATTAAGAACGTGATCTGCGTTTTAATCTTCCTACTCTCTGCTAGCTGCTTACGGGTTCAGTTTACCTCCACACGATGTCGAAGCAATGAAAGAGTTCGAAGAGTTACTCATATCCGTGGATCCACTGTAACCGATTCCATTGTCGCTTTGGAAGGACTAAAGGAAGACTTCATGATTTTCACATTTTTAAAATTATTTGCCTATTCAATGGCCGGCGGATGTTGTTGCAGCGAATGAATCAAAAGATGCGCTTTTGACTCCTTCGTCCTTAAGCCGATTCGGCTTCGAAGTGATCGTCAAGAAAATCTTTACCGTTCCAATGGAAGGACTGAAAGAGTTCATAACTCCAACTCGCTTCAGTTTATTCGGCTACATTGTCGCAATCGTCTATTTCTTCGCAGGAGTTTTATTTGTAGGAATCACAAGCAAGTTGAGACTGAACGAAAGGAGAACGTTTCTTTGCGATTTCAGCGGCGCACAACCGGCTGACAAACTATTTCTTCAAGCACAGTGCTTTGACAAGTATGAGCAACATTATAATTCTCCGCTGCCGCTTTACGTGTTTGTCATATTAAATTTTGCTACGGTGATTGTGGTATGCCTTGTTTACAGTTGGTGTTGCGTGAAATCTCGAGTGGATAAGCTACAGGCGGCGGTAATACCAGACGCAGAAAACCCTCGTCCACGGCCTAGAGTCGAAACTCGTTGTATTTTCTTCTTATATTTCCTTCATCTCGTCGCACGACTGTCGTTGGGGATCATTTTCGCGGTGTTGCAAAACTTTATGTTTTATTCAGGCGGCTTTCAAGTCGCATTCGTCTGCGTTTCGTCCCGGGGACTGGAATCATTGAATGCCACAAAGAGCGCTTCGTCCGCAAAAAGCGAACCTATTACATATTGTCACAACTCCGTTGCGTCTGAAAAGGGCACATGCGCACTGTTGGTCCTTGTGGTTAATGTCATATTTGCATTTCTAGTCTTCGGGGAAATTGTTTACCTTGTAGTGCGAGCATTTCGAAGAAGCAAATTCGCGTCTGACTCAGAATTTTGTGCGAATTATTTCTTTCACCAAAGCGTGACAGCTCTGACACCAGTTTGCTTTCGTCAACGCATGAAAAGGAGAATACTACAAGAGACAGAATTTCTGGAACCACTTATCCACTGTGGCAAGGAAAGCGCAAATGAGAGGGTTTCTTTGGATGAAATATTCCTCGATGTGATCATTTACACCGGAAGAGCTACTGACGAATTTCTTAGGGAATGCAAAAGGCATCTAATATACGACTTTTACTTGAAGCCTGAAAGTAAAAAAGGATCTGTTGAGATCAAGACGCGCAAAGAGCTTTTTCTAGCCAACGAAGATGCCGACAACCCTCGCAAAATTCTTATCGTTGGTCGCCCTGGCATCGGGAAGTCGCTGCTCTGTCGAGAGTTGCTTCGGGACTGGAGCAAAGGGGAACTTTTCCGTAACATTTCGGAGCGTTTTAAGTACGCCTTTTTGTTCCAATTTCGATCATTCTATGCAGAAACGACAGAAAAGATTTCCCTTTGGCAATTGTTTAATCGCGCTGCTTGTATGGACGGACCAGTGGACCATGGCCTTTTTCAAGAGTTATTGGACAACCCCGAGACAATCCTGCTTGTATTTGATGGCTTAGATGAATTTAGGGACCAGGGTAGTTGTACTGCAAACGAAGCCGCACGGTTCGGTAATTCTCCTACCGAGGAAATGCCGGTATCAGCCTTGTTCGTAAAGTTACTGCAAGGCAAACTCCTTCCGGATGTAACAGTGGTGACGAGCTGTAGGCCGACAGCATTGGAAAGCGTCGAGGTCTCACATTTTGAGAGGACTGTGGAAATTATGGGATTTACGGAAGAGAAGGTTCACAAATATGTGAGCAAATACTGCCAAGGAGACGGCCACACTGCAGCCAGAATATGGGAGCATCTGAGTAGTAACTTACACTTGTTGTCTTTATGTTACATCCCTGTGAATTGCCGCATATTTTGTTACTTTCTGAAGGAGTTAATCAAGCCATCTCCACCTGACGCAGGAAGCGTCATTTTGCCCACAAGACTGACGGACGTGTACCTTGGAGCCCTAAGGTTGTTTGTCTTTTCACATCATCCTGAATTTCGAGATAAACCATTTCGAGGAAACGAAAGCTTTTCAGATTCGGTTGAAAAGACTTTAACTGATCTTGGATCGTTGGCAAGGAGAGGTATAGAGGAAGGACGGTTAATATTCGATAAAGAAGAAGTCGCAGGAATGACAAATTGTGGTTTGCTGACCCAATTACCTGACGCAAGGTTGTCACCGGTGGAATTCAAACAGCGCTTCAGCTTCATCCATTTAACCTTACAAGAGTTTCTCGCGGCAAGGGAAATTTCGAAGATGGATCCGGCTGAACTGAAGATCTTTATCACTTCCAACGCTGAGGATCCAAAGTGGCAGCTTGTCATTCAATTCGTTGCAGGATTGATCCATGGTAAAAAAATGGAGGCCATCGAGGGTATTGTGTCTTGCCTTCACGATTCGCTGCTGTCAAAATCACCTAGCAGACCGTCAAGAAGGAAGGCTTTGCTCATGATGAACTGCCTGTACGAATACAATGACGAGGCTACAGTGAAGAGAGTAGCCTCAATGTTAAAGCAGAACAGGGATTTCCACGGATTCATTCAGTTATGGAACTGTAATGTCACACCTGCCGATTGCACAGCAATCGTTTACTTCTTAAAACACATTGAGCCGCTAAACTACTACCTTGAGCTGACTTGCAATTCCTTAGGAGATGGCGGTTGTAAAGAACTTTCAAAGCTGCTAAAAGAGGGAGGTCCAGTCAAACTGGTGATACCCGAGAACAATATCACCGATCAGGGCTTGATTGCACTGGTAGAAGCTATCAGTGCGGACAGTTGCAAACTCAAAAAGTTGAACCTTGTTAAGAATACCTCGATCACTCCAGAAGCTTTGGGTCTTTTATGCGAGTCGCTGAAAGAGAGGAGTTGCAAACTCACCCATTTGAACCTTGGAGGACTCCAACTCACTGATAATGTATTGACACAACTGTGTGAGTCACTTCAACATGTGAACTCCTCATTGACCTACCTGAAGATGACCAATGACGACTTTTGGACTGATGCGCTCATACTAAAGCTCTGTGAAACACTTAGACACCCAAACTGCCAGCTAACCGCGATAAGAATTTCGGGCCATAAAATAACAAATCAAGGAGTACACTACTTCTGTGAAGCACTGGAATGTAAGCACTGTAAACTTACATTGCTCAACCTGACCAGCAACCGAATTACTGCTGTGGTGCTGCCAAATTTGTGTAAAGCAGTGAAGCACCAGAATTGCAAACTCTCGACGCTACACATTACTTCGTGGAACATCAATAACCGAAGTAAACAGAAGCTTGAAGATGCGCTCGAAGCTGCCATTTCCGTAAGAAAACAAGCTCCAAAGGAACTAGAACCCTCGATAAGTTTCCGTGAAACATCTCACAAACTTGAGTTTTTTCATGCAGTCCACTTCTAATTCTCGTTATATACATTTCACAGGGGGGGGGGGGGAAGTGGGAAAGAAAAAGGGAAAATCACTTAATTTTAAATTAACTGTCGCAAGGACTGTAGCGTCCTAAATGTGACTTGTATAAACCTCGCGAAAGGGACAGATGCAGACGAGTATATGCATTTGCAGGGCTAAGTTCCCGTTTTCAACCGAATGGCTTATAAAAACGAGAGGTTGAACCACTTAAGAGGATGGGTTTGTTCAAACTTTATGGCTAGATTTATCATCGATTTAGTGACTGACTGATTGATGAATTCAATTAAATTTTTCAGAAAGTTGTTCAAAATTCCTTCGAGGCTGAAAAAAAAGATTGTCTTTCCTATGTTCAGGTCAGTTCAACTGGCTTTGTTTAAGTCCAGTAATAAAACTGAAAAAGTGATAATTTATACGGTGCAATTATGGCTTTGCATATGTTGCACTATTCAAGGTTTGGCGTAGAGAAAAAATAATGTCACTCTGAGCGACTCTCCCCCCCCGTAGTTGTGCTGATACTACACCACTATAACTTAAATTTAACAAAGACAGGCTTCTGAATACTTTGCGGTCGCACGAAGATTGTAGTATTGTAAATAATTGTAATAACAAAACTCTTTCTAATTTTGCTACAGTTATTCTCTTTTTCATCTTGAAGTTTCTCGAAATCAATCGAGGCTTTAGTCTGTTCTTGTCCCTAACAAAAAGCTTCGGAGGGCAATAGTCCATTTCACAGTTGTGTGCTTGGTTGTGAAGTCTTTGAACAGGAGTGAGGCTAAGGGTGACTTTGTCATGATACAAACCTTGCTACTTTTCAAATGTAAATTACTTTGTCATCATGCTAACTAGATACTGGTCTCTATAACAACAAGGTCACCGTCAGCCTCACTCTAAATCACAGGCTTGGCAACTGAGTACACGACTATAAAATGGCCTATTAATCAGGTACTCTTACCGTAACCACCGCTCTAGCATTGTTATCAGCAAAGTCGAGTCCTTCGCTTACTTTTCCTCGACAAACGGCTAAGAACAACCCACCGTCCACACATGACTCGTCATCGGAATCTACACAAAACACAGAAGTCACCAGGATGAGTGCTCACACACAATAAAATCATGGATACTGCTTATTGGCATCAATTTATTTCGCGAATATTCTGCACCTCCCTAATAACTTGGAACAAAGTACAGATTGGTTCAGAAAGTGGCGCGATTTGTCGAAAACAATCGCAGAGTAAAGTAAAGCAAAACCAACAAAATTTCAGTAGACATGCACAAGAAATGGATAACTGCTCTCTTTCGAGGTGATAGCTTTCTTTTAGAATGGGACGAAAAGTTTGACGATGTAATTGTGTGAGAGTAGGGCGTGAAAACGTGAAATAAATGGGATAACATCATAAGCTAAGTTCAAATTCCCATAAAAGTCGTTTTCGCCAAATGTTTTCATCGGTTACTTGGACTTCTTCTATGTATCATACGTTGCATGAAAACTGAGCTACAGAGAAAATTTGATAACATTTTGAAAATTGTTTATAAAGAATGACTTTTGCTACGTTTACTGACGTAGTAATCTTTCCACGTCATTCACTTTCCGCGAGTCTCACTCTCCTGATAAAATCTTCATAACTGAATACTCATACGGATCTGAGAATTTGCAAATTCGACAACAGAAAATTGAAGATTTTCTTTTTTTTTTTGTCCAACCATCCACCGAGACTTTTCCCACCACTCACGAAAAGAAATAAGGTGGGAAACATATCCTATTGAAAAATCATTAAAATTTCCAAATACGGTACCGCAAAGAGCTCATTGATTTGGTTTCTTTACGTCATTCAGTTCTTTATTACTGTTCCAGCATTTTTGGAACGTTTAAATATCGTGCGACTCTTCCATCTATGAGAGCGAGTTTCTAAAGATTTGCAAATGCACGGATAACATTTTAATAATTTTGAGACGTGAGTACAGAAATTGGTTTAAAAATGATAGTTATGTAATACAAGGGACGATCGAAATTCAAGCGGTGAGGAGCAAGAAACAGCAAAAGATATACATTACTTCACCACATGAAAGCAAGACAATGGAGGATTAATGACGAGGGTTATGAACTAAATTCACGGAAAGTTTGGAGGAATTTCGTTTAATAAAAACAGATAATCGACGGAACGAAGTCATTATAAAACATACGAACACTGGAAGCAAAACTATTACAACTAAATTGTGAAAACAGAGTTTCGCCTCGACTACTGTGTCTGCAAATGGCTGCCCCTTAAGAGAAAAAGTCGCTGTGTCGTGATAACATCTTACCACTAAATATGGACAACACGACTCGATCATTGTTGGAACAAGAAGACAGTTTGACCACAACTGGTCTGAAGACAGCCTCACTTCTCCTCTTCATGCTCGTTGGCACCTTCTCAAACGGTCGCGTTCTTTATACTGTGTTGGTTGTTGATGTAATACGTCCACCGTTGAACCGTTTCGTAGCAAGCTTAAGTTTTGCAGACCTCGCTAGTTGCCTTCTCCTAATACCTTTTGCTCTTGTTTCACTGGCGTCTGGTAAATGGATTTTTGGCCAAGTTTTCTGCGCCTTACATGTCACACTCGGTAATTACTTCGCCCAGGTAGCATGCCTTAGTGTGGGCGCCATGGTGTATGAGAGATACCAAGCAATTTATCGCAAGCGTTTTCCCAGTTTATCGAGAAAGAACACCAACATTTTGCTGTGCTTCGCCTGGATTTGTCCAATTCCTCCCTCTGCAGTTATGCTTAGTCATCAGTTCGATTACAATGCATACACAGGAATGTGTTTCCTTGCCCCTCAGCACTGGAATGCCATTAACATTGCAACAGAAATCGCTATCGCAGCTTTTGTGGTACTTTTTGTAACGTTTTCGTTTCGGAAAATTTTGTCTTTGATTCTTCCTCTTCGACGACGGGTAAGTCCCGGCCTGCTCTCAAACGAAGAAAAGTTAACCATGGCTGCGCATGTGCACTCGGCTTGGACACTGCTGACGTTCATACTCGTCTACGTCATTCTGGTAGCGCCTATCTTCATCGCAGGGATCGTAAACAACAAAAGCCTCTACCCTGGGAAAAGTCTCATACCAGATGAAGTGGTATGTGTTTTCCTTTGGCTCTATTGGCTGCAATGCTCTATCAAACCCTTTGTATACGTTATGCGGAGTAACAAATGCACCAGATGTCTTTTCTGTGGGTTTTGCGTTACCGGACTAGAGGGAGAGAAACTAACCAGTTGTTTTGGCAGACAGCACTCTCGCGTATACAAAGCGAATGGAGATTTGTTTGAAAACAACCGAGGTTCTTGTGCTGGCCTTCCGGTCAATCCCGACAAAGATGACGGATTCCTCGATCTTTTCCGGACAATGCCTATCTCAAGTCCTGTTCGAAGTGTTCCCGAGCATGCCCGATCAGCCGATGATGGTACCAGCCAGTCAAGACAAGACAGGTCCATTTGCTTTGGAAATATCATCCAAAATTCCGTTTTCATAGAGGATTTGGAATCTCACACAAGCGAATGCGAAGAAGAGCGAAATTCTTGTCGAGAAATCTCTGAAAATAATGGGACTACTGCAATAGATATTAATGTTTGCCAAGAAGCAGTGGAACTTGACATAGTAGAAGGTACGTTAGATGAAGCCTTGAAGGCTCAGCAGAAAGTATGGGCTAGAAGTACCTCAAGAATCTGATAAACAGTTCTGGCCAGAGGTTTTTAATTGTTTTAAATTGAGTTATCATGCACTATTTAAATGCCGATTTCACACGGTTTGAATGTCCTTTCCCAAAATCAATTTTCGAAATGAAGATCACCAAATCAGGACGATAATTCTGCTTCCAACCTCAACAAGATGTTTAAAACGCTAGAAATATGAGAGTCCCACTATAACTCTCTCCTCATCTCTCTTCATCTTCTCTCCGCTCCTCTAAAAAGGGAAAAAGGAGATCTCCGATAAAAGACGAATGCTCCGCGGGAATTTAAGGGCACATACTGTGTGAGTCGATACCACAGACCAGCGGCGTTATTTGTTCCTTCAGCGGTATCACTATCCGTATAATATCAATTACATTCTTCGATTCAAATAACATGTAAACTATTTTACAGTGCATTGACATAAAGGTAATAAGGTATCTAGAAGTTACCTTGCTGCATGTTACTCTCTTCGCCTTCACTTGCTCTCACAGCATGGTAAAACTGGTGCATAATATCATCAAAATCTGGCAATTTAGAACGCGAAAAAACCATGACAAAAGAGACATTTGTAAAGACAAAATAAATCACAACAAACCTGATTTGTCCCCACTGCGTGGCTCACTGACAAGTACTTTTCTATCCACAAGCTTTGACCACAAACCTGTTGACTACGCGAAATTTAAAAAAAAAAAAAAAATTTTAACACAATGAAAACGCTTCACGCAATGGAGATTTCTCTCTTCACGCCCTGTAGAAGATGAGAGGCCAGACATGGCGCATCTATTTCAGTAACAATCACAATATTTATTCTTCAATGTACGTACATTCAAAACCAGTCAGCTAATAGGTTGTATGTGAAAAAAAAAACAAGCAATCATTTGTTTATTTCCACAGACGAAAGTCTTCAACATTTCTCAGTCCCTGCTATTAGTAATCAACTTTGAACAACATGTCCTTTTTCAGTACCTGTGAGCCTAGTATTGGGTCAAATTAGAATTAACTCACAGCCAGAGTGGAATTCAATTTAAATCTCCCAAACCATTCAAATCCCCCTCTTTAGAAAACAAAAACTATTACACATTACCTCTATTACTATTACATCATACCTGCCAACGTTTGCTTAGCTTGTCCAGCATGTTATAAGAAGGAAAGAAACAGAGTACTCCATGAGGCACTGTCTACAGAGAAGGCGACAAACAGGTCTGAGTCAATTTAAGGGCAAAGAGAAATAAAATCAAAGGAAAAAGCCAGTGAAATATAACTCAACATCTACATGGATGGCTAGACATCTAAATTACCTCGCAAACATTAAGCAGAATTTTGCCAACCTCATCTTGAAAAGTGAAGGTCTACAAATAAATTTTCTCAGTTAAACAAAACAAAACCTGAATTGAACTGGACGCCTATAATATTCAACCTATACGACATCTCTTAACATCCTTATTATCATCATCTTTATCAATTTCATTACCGTTATCGTTATTGCTATTATCACATTATAGAGATGTAATTAAAATCCGGCAACTGAAGGCAATCTCTTGCTTTATGGGATAAAATTTCCAAGCGACAAATCCTGGGAGGATAAGTACGCATAACTTTAGGGTTAAATGAAATAATTTGTTTCGCTGTCATTACCATTTTATTACTTGTCATCAAAATAAAGGAAAGTTTTACACCTTTCATTCAATGGAGTAGGCTCTGTTGACCGCAAGTGACTATGAGCACGCTTTTCGGCTGAGAGTCAAAACCCAAAACCGAAGCAATCACAACAACCAATCATAGCAAAGAAATATCACTGGGAGGCACTGAGATCTCATAGCCATTCTGTAGCATACCTCAGCACTGTGATAACTTGCATTGATAGCTGATCCACTTGGTCCTGATGACAGAGTCCCAACCCACACCTAATAGTTGAGCAGACAATCATTCATTAAAAAAGAAACGACAATAACAACAACAAAAGCAACACCCTACCAGTTCTACCTTCTGGATAGTCTTCAAGAGAATCTTAAGTCTCTTTAAGTCGTGTATCTCCTACAACTCACTTCTTCAGATTCAAAACAGTACGATCCTTGGATTTGCTTTCGCATTCAATTAATGTGGCTTATCTCGACAAGTTGAAAATTACAGTTGTACTTTTATGATCAACCAGAATTGAGGCCAGCTATTTATTCCCAAATTCCCTAGTCGGGATAAAGCCTCTAGTTGTGTCACTGCATCTTCTAGCTGCCAGTATACCGTCAGATGCTATTCGGCTACAAATTGTCCCTAGAATTTTGGAGCAAATTATGGAACGATACCTGTGAATTAGCAATGACATGATTTGCCTCCAGCTGGATTGGGAATTTGATTCCAAGCTCAGACGAGAACGAAGCCATGGGTGAAAGAGTTCCAGACGTCAGCACAATACAACGAGCCTGAGAGCCAAGCTCTGAGAAAACCTTAAGAGCGAAAAACAAGACAAAGAGGAAAGACCCATGGACAAGCTTGGGGGAGAGATCTCTCTTGAGATAATGAGGTATAACCGTTTGTCTCGCAGGGCATTTACCACGATGAGTACCTTCAACACTTTATTAAGATACATGTATCTCTCTTAATAGAGCAAACTCTTATCCAATTGAGTATCCAAATGGATCTCAGATTGCTTTGGTTTCGCTTTACTTCGACCTGTGATTTGTCTGAAAAACTCGCGCCACCGACTCAACCAATTAGATGCAGAGGTAAAACCAATCCCAACTTTGTCACTCGCGTTTTCCCGCACTTCAAGCAGGTTGTCCATTTTCACTTTGAGAATCTCAATTTAAATCTGATTTATCACCAAATTAACGTAGGAGTTAAAAAAAAGTGGCATTTAACCCAAGGTTTACGTCTGCTGACATTACTGCTAGCATTGCTTTCAACAAGCCACAAGCAAAAATCTAAACCCTACTGACGATTAACACCAAACGAGAAGAATTCTTTACTGACTTAAAATAGGAGCGAAAATGCATCATCCTTGCACGAGGATATCTTACCACAGCAGGGTTTAAGCACCAAAAGTTCAAAGATTGCGTCCATTCCTTTCTAGCTCCTGTTCAGATAAAGTAAGTTCCTCATTAGGGCCATAAATAAAATTACACCACATTGCTACTTGCACGTCAGCCACTCTTCCTTCCATCTATTGCAATCTTAAGCTCAAAATTTTGCCATACATCGTCAACCATTGAATCGACGCTTTCCCTCGAACAAGCGCTCCTTTGCGATGTTCAGTCCAACTATCGGTCAAAATCTATAATTGCCACCCCACTGACCGTGTTTAACCCTTTAATATTTAAGAGTGATAAAAACCTAATTTCTCCTTAAAGTATAAAAGCTGAACCTGGAATTAAGGTCATAAGAAAAAGGGAACTGATCACCAACTACAGAAGCTGTTGATTGATAAATAAATTCACCAAGTGAGTACCATAACAAATGTATAGATGACAGAATGGAGAATATGTATACTGATATCTGGGTGTTGAGGATCAATCAGTGTGCAATAATTCTCACCTCCATGAGATCGTCTCCATCCTCCTGGCTACAGTTAAAAGGAAAGAAAAAAATTATATCAAATGTTTTCAATCAATTGAATCGTCTGGTCGTATTTTTACACTTTTTCAGGTTTGCTAAAGCTATTATATACTTACCAAAACTACATCCCTAACCATGACTGATGTTTTCAGTACTGCACACCTGGAAGATTAGAAAAAAACCAATCAATTCTCTCGGGTAGTACACTTTTAACATTACAAACAAACAACCACCTTTCTTGACCACTCCCTAAAGAGGGTTTTTAGGTTCAGTGTCACAAATCACACAAACCAACGGACAGAAAGTGGTGACAGTTTCTTAATTAGCAAGAGTCATGCCTGTTAGCCATTTTACACATATGTGTAAGAACATGTTATGCATCTAATAATAAGAGTCTGGTACTATGAAGAACAAATCCAGTATGAAGTGAGGTGGAGGATTTTCTAAACCGGAGAAAAAAAATGCATTTAACCATTTACATCCAAACATCTGTATCCATAGTCTTTATACTTTTCTCTATACGTTTATTTTGGCACTGACAAGGAAAATTTTGTCTAACAATCAAAGCTTCTAAGGTTGGTGATCATTTCCTTTATTCTCATAATCTTAAAGAATGATTCAGCAATGTTATTGTAAGGAGAAGTTACGTGCTGTTCACTCTCAGGGTTTAAAAGATTAAGAAATTAATTTTACAAATGCATCAAAAATCAGTGTACCTGTAATCAGAAATATATTGCATATTGTTTGCCATCATATATTTCCCAACAAGGAATATCCCTTCCAGCAGACTTTGACTATGAGAGGACAAGGTAGGCATGTCATTTGATCTGAGAATGAAAGAAAGAGATTAAAATACAGTTAATGGAAAAATGAATGTTAGTGTAATTAGAGCTGATTTTTATGGGAAAGTAACAAGCCAATACACAATACACAATACACTTACAGTACTAAGAGAGATTTTTAATAATTCGCATGAACCTTTATCTTAGCAATTACAAAAGCTCAAAAACATTTCCTATGCCCATAAATCATGAAATACATAAACAAAGTCCACGATAAGAAAAGCACTCACATACAACATAGCATTTAAGTGCCAAATCACAATTTATATGTACCTTGTTGGATCTTTTATGGTTGCCATAATGTACTGATAATGTTCCTGTTCACAAAAAGAATACATGGAAATAACAAGATCTAATTTACCTAGAATACTGGTAACTTAAAGACATTTCAAAACATAACTTTTTGTCAATAAACCCACAGTGTATTTCTAGAACCAAAACATTAAAAATAGCAAAAAAATTAAACTATGAATTTAAAAATAAATTTTCACATTAACTTGGCTATTTTCTTCACTGAATGACCAGCCAACCACCTCGAACACAACATGTCAGCCCTGATAGAAAAATCAATCAAAAAGTCACATACAAAATATATGTAGAAGGTTCCAGGTGTGATTGCTTGTTTCTCCATTGCAGCTATGATTTCCATTCCAGACCATACTTTAGAAGACTGCTCAAAGCTTCTTTCTTTTAATTGTGCAGAACTCTCATGAATCCATCGCAGAAAACTCCCAATCTTACCAAGAAACAAAATCATGTTAACTACAGAGCTGATAGTCAGAACACCAGTTTTTCTGTGTTTGAAAGAATGAAGCAATCTTTTAAATTCTTGCAGGGGAGTAACCGTGATGCTGTTTCATTATCAGTGATAATAGCTTTTGCAAAATAAGATTAGTAAATACAGTGAGCTGTACACAGACTAACTTTGTGAAAACAAGGCTCAGAGAAATTTGTTTAAAAGCACAGGTTACAAAATATACAAGAGAATGATGGATTGCCAAATCTTCTGAAAGGGCACCATACACTCTAATCAGTATGTGTTCGCATTCTTAGGAAAAACACTCCACTCTCAAGGTATAAAAGTGGAGATGAAGGTTAAAATAATTATATCTGATAAAGGCTCTTGCACCAGGAAACCATTTTAAATGAACTGAAGGGCACACCAATCCACATGCACTCTTTAAGGGTAAGCATAAATTACAACAACAAATGATCCTAGATACAAACAGGGGTATACTTACCATCAAATGTAAAGGGCGATGGTGTTCTGTCAAAACCTGCATTTGAACTATAAAAAAGAGCAATTTTCATGCACATATGAGAAAATAATATTTGAAATAATACTGATTTCTATCTTACAAAAAAAGAGAAAAAAGGGAGTACTCTCTTCTAATGAAGTTGGCATAAATAAGGATGAAATCAGATTTTGGTATGTGCAGGTACTCCATTTAACTGTGAGCTGTTTTGGCTAGATGAGACCCCAGAGCACAACACACCCGTTAGACTTTTATTAGACAGCACTATACTTTCAAATTCAAAGCTAGTTTTGCTATGTTCACTAACCTAGTCTATCAAGTTCATCTAGAGTGTTCTGTAACTCTACAGCTGTCAGTGTAAGACTGCCTGCCTCTCGTGAAGAGTCTTCAACATTGTGCGCTTCATCTAGAACAACAATCTGGTCCTTGAGATTTATATCCATCTGAAAAATATCAAATAAGCAACACACATCTAACTGACCAGAATCTGTAAAGATTTCTGGGGGTTGAAATTAGTTGATTCAAATAAACTTTAAGGTTTTACTAAGTAGAAAATGACAGATAGTTAACCCTTTCACTCCCATGAATGACCAAGACAGAATTTCTCCTTACAATATCAATACAATATCAACCAGATAAGTGAATTAGCATTATAAGACTTTTATGGTTGACATTAAGGAGAATGGCAAATTTGATCTGGGAGTTAAAGGGCTAAGAACAAATGTTTTGAGAAAGAACAAACATAATCATACCTGCATTCTAATTTTTGGATCAATGAGATAGTTATATGGGCAAAAAATGACATCAGCTTCCTTCATTAACTCCCTTGCTGCAAAATATGGACAAGCCTACAAAAGGACATAACAAAATACAGTTCTTCCTTTTTAGAATGGTTGTGTGCTACTGTTAAAAAATGAGTGTGGTTGACTACACAGGAGGAAACTATGACTACAAATGGAGAAATGACAGTGACCTCTCTCCTTTCAAAAATAATGACTGAAAATTGAGAAATTATAGAGTGACCTCTCTTCCCCTTTAAAAAAACTATAACTGAAAATACGAAGGAGTTGAATATTTGATTGGCATTTTAGTGTACACAGGTAAAAATTAACCATAAATAACACTACTAAGAAGGGAACACAATGTACAATAAAATAATCCTTTGTTTAGAAATCATTTTCAATCCTGTGTGTAGTATCAGTACAACTTGCATCTAGTACTTACTATGATTTGAATGATGAAAGATTATTCAAACAATATATCAATATTGCAACTTGAGATAATTAATGATAATGAAAGCTAATTTACCTTGATTTGACTTCCTAGAGTTACCAAGTCTTCAATGTCCCAGGCACCAGACAGACCATGGTATCTCAAGCTGGTTTGAGTCCGAATGGTGTGAACTTTTTGATAGTATCTACAGGTCATACCCTTGAAATTATTAAAAAAGAAACCAAAACATGCAAGTTAATAGAAATTGAAGCACGACAAAGGTAATGCAATATAGGGTGACATTACCATCAACAAGCTTTTTTTTAAAATTTTTTATACAAGGCAAATAGATGTAATGTTAACCTGGCAGTAATTGAGAGATCACAGGAGAGTTAAAATATAGTAAGATCATCAGAACACTCTTGGCTGCACCTTGTGTCCCACAATTTTGTTCTTATCACATTTTGAAGCTGTCCGTGATCAGAGGCAAGGAAAATGAAATCTATTTGTTTAACTGAACAGACACACACCAATATAGAGTCTATTTGTTAAATTGACAACTTATACTTATACTATAGAATCCAAAAATGGTCGCTTCTGACACATTTTGATATGGTTTTAATTTGAGTTAAAAAAAAATCAAAAATGAAATATAGCTCCCTACAAACCTCTGAACCATCCAGCAACTTTTTACATTCCTCATTCTTCTTTTTACCTTTGGAAACTACTGGATGAACACATGAATGCTCTCGACTGGAAAGTATAGTCATCCTGCATAAGTAAAGAGAAATAATACCTACAAATTATTACAGGGATCACTCCCATTTTCAAAAACAAATTTTAAGGACTTTACCAGAACTCAGACTGATTTTTCCAGGACTCTAAATTTCACCTTAGACCCTATCAATCCCAAGATTTCAAAAATCATTCTCCTTAAGGCCTACATACATTTCTCATACAAATTCCAAAAACTTTATTGCATGAGTTAAGCAGATTTCCATGACTTTCCAGGACAGGAATGAACCCTGTTAAAAAATTTCACCATGATAGTTGTTTTAATGCACTCTATACACAATTAACCTGTCTGAATAAAATGAAACTGTTTTATGATTTTCAAAGATTTGCCATAACCTGATTATTGTTTTTTTCTTCGGGGTATTTCCTTTGTCTTCTAGGTCTACCAAAACAGTGAAAGAGAGGCTACTTCTGAAAGGTATGCAATATCTTTTGATAATTGTATTTAGGGATCAATTGATCAAACACTATTGACACATTTTTGAGGAGAAAAATTTGTTATTTTGTCATTATATCAACAAAACTAATCTCATATCTCATTTTCATTCTTACTTAACATGCTTGTAGACAGTCTTCTTGAGTTCCCTTGAAATCTGAGCAATTTGCTTGTGTGTTCTTGTTCCAAAAAAGATTTTTGGAATCCTATAAAGAAACAAAATGCAAATTTTAAGTTAGCTAGCCCCAGATTCTTCTGTCATTATATGTGCTGTAGACATCACTGTCCATTCTATAATGCAATGTTCTCTAGTCTTTCAGATTTAGCAGCCTGGGAAGGTAATTGTACAAGTAACATAAAATATTAGAGGGGGTAAGTTTCTAAAGAAACAGTGGTACTGCATCGGTGGGAAAGTAAGGTAATTTAATGTTATGACCTATGACCAACCTGAAACTTTCAAATGCCCTCACTCACTATGCAAAACTTATCCTTTCATTCATAACATAGAGAAAATGTCAGGACCCAAGAGATCCATTAAGATCACTGATCAACTCATGTGCACCTCTGCCAATATCATCTACTACATAACATGCACTTATTGCAAAAAGTTATACATTGGTGAAACAGAAAGATGATCAAGTGACTGTTTCCGAGAACACCATCGCAACTTAGAAAGAACTGACAAGGACCCATCCAAACCAGTTGCTAGACACTAATCTCCCTAATCATGCAAAGCAGCATATGGCAGTTTGCAGCCTTCCCCTACATCTAGGATGTTTGGAAAGATGTGAAACTCTAGAACAAAAATTTATCTTTCAAATCAGCACACTAAATCCCCAAGGTATCAATGAGCACTTTTCATTCAGCTAATTCTTGTTTTCTCATCACAATATTCTCACCAATAGAGTAGCTCCATTTTCATTCCATTTAAACTCACACACATAACCTACAATTCCTCCAATTGCTCTGATGAAGGGCTAATGCTTGAAACATCAGCTTTTGAATTCTTTATGATGGCCAATTAATGTTATCAACTCAGTTGTTAATACTAAATTACCCAGTTTATGTAAAATATTACATGGGAGCATACTCAATCTAGTGTTCTCTATCCTACTAACTCTTTCCCTCCCTGGCTCTCTGTACAAATTCTCGTTACTGTATACTGTACACTTCTCATGACGATAGATGGGCTTTCAGAATTTGGTGCTTAACCCAAAAAATTCTCTTATTTCATAATTTTCTCTCTTCTCACCACTTGTCTGGTGATAGTGTATTGACAATCCAATAAGAAATTACTTTTTGATCTCTCCTAAGAGTGAAAGAGTTAAGTAATGAAAAAGAATACCCACTGAGTCCCATTTGGCTCATGTATGTGTATAGTATCAATAAAGGAATCTCTTTTTATCCAACAGAATGCAAAAATGGTGATTGGAGTTAAAACTTGAATTTAAAAAGATGCTTGACACATCTCATGTTGCCAAAATAAGACAAAAAGAAGAGGCTAAGACAAAAAAATTGTTTAAGCAGAAGCACTCTTGTACCACTCTTGAAATTTTTTCACCATTTGAAACCACTCTTTCTAGATGCTCTGTTTATCTCTTCCTTAAGAATATTGAAAATGTACGACATTTCTTTTCAGAGAAAAACCCTTACTTCAGTCTTTCTGATTTTGAGTCACTCTTTCCACTATCATCTGGTGATAACTTGTCTTTGTTATCAAGGGCATTTGCAGCAGTACTTGGTGAAGTATTTTTCCCTTCTCTGTCTGTTGTTAGCTCCATGGTCCACTCTGGGAGTTCATAATCAGCTTCATCTTCACCTGAAGGTCCAGCATTAGGATGGACACGCCTCTTTTTCGATGACGACACAGTCTGCTAAATCAATTTAAATTGTAAAGGTGAGAACATATTTATCCTAAAATGAAATGGCTCCAGAAGAGAAGAAAATTTAACAAAAAAACTATGCTCAATTAAAAAATTTGTAGTTTATAGAAGAAACTGACACTGATGTATTCAAAAATCATTTTGATCAGATAGAATTTCACATCATCTCAGTTTCTCTTTTTTTACAAGAGATTTTGATTTTTGAAGTTTTCTCATCTTTATCTTCCACCATCTCATTATCAAAATTATGTTTAACCTACCTATGTTTATAAGACAGCAACTCAAAATGAAAATCAAATCATTCTACAACTTAGTTAATTATGATCCCTAATTTCTCCTAGATAATTGCACTATTTTCTTAAAACACAAAAATAATATTGTCCTATTCTAATTTGAGAACATTTTCTGAAAGAACCGGATATCATTTTCCATAAACATATTCAGTTAAAAAAAATACTTAGAAATTGATCTGAAAAT